TAATTTTTAGTCTTCAATACATAAGAATGTCATTTGTCTATACATACATATTTAAATACACAAAACAAAGACTTATTTTTAAGTTATTTGACTATTAGTTAAATCAGAATATTGCCAAGTGAAAAATTAGGGAAGGACAACTTCAGGATGACACAGCAATTTATTTCAGGCAAGAACAAACTATGAATGATAAACAAAAGATAAGCAATGAGGGAAGTTTACAGAGTACCAAAATATAAACATAAAAATGATATTCTGTAAATAAAATAATAAATACTTTGTTACAATATAATAAGTTTTGAAAATAGAGCAATCCATAGATAAATCTTTAATTAAAAAGGCATATATTAGATCAACACTTTAAAATGTTATAACACCTTGATTAAGGTTGGCGTTCAGCCAGCTGAAATATTGGTAAAATAAATGAATTTTTGATCCAATATATGCCTTTTTATTTAAATATAATAAGTAAAAATGGCATATCCTGACCAGGAGCACATGTGCTTGTCAGGATATGCCTTTTTTATTTTTTATATCAACACCTGATCTTTTTATCTCCTATTTTCTCTTTCATTTTTCAATATAATAAGGGTACCTAGAATTTTATAGAATAAAATTTTGCCCATTTGTCAATACATTGCTTTCTCTCCTTTTACCTTTATTCTTAAATTTATAAAAATTCTTTCAAATAAGAGAGAAAGCAATCCATTGAAATATTTTAATTTTTATCTTTTCAAATAGATTGAGGTAGATTCTTTATTTTTCAGTAGTACATCAGCTTTTGATCATTTAGCGTAACATCGCTGCTGAAGGTGACAATGTAGAAACACAACTACGTAGTAATTTTGGACATTTGACACAACAATGGTAGATTTAAAACTACTACAAATGGGATCAGGTTGATAAATTAAGAGATGGGCGAATCATTTTCGCCAAATTTAAAGTTACTGATGGCTCTTTCACCATCTCTAGGAATAAATATTAACTAATGATTTTTAATTATATCAGATTTAAACAAATAATCTTTCTTGATTAATCAAGTAAAATTAATAACGTACATGTTTCAGGCTGTTGGCCTTTATCAATCTGATACAAGATGTATCTCAGCGACCAAATAAAAGGTGGTTTATTAGGGAAAATCGATAAATGGGTATTTAATGCCGTAAGAAACCTTTTTTTTGCACGATCAGGAGATGTCCTACTCTTAATTATGGATTAAATTCTTCTAAAGGTAGAACAGCTTGTATTGACATTAGGACAGGATATTTACCGAGAAAGAAAGAGGATTTCGGAAATTGAGGCAAGCTGTATCGGATTAAATGGACAATACTCCAAGCGGTGGAATAAAGAAGGAAGAACTTGGCGGAAGCAGACAGGAAGCGCCATCCATCCCTCTCCTTAAAATCAAATCTCCGGAGAAATGTCCATTGTCCTTTCTTTGTCTATTGTCAGTTGACTCGGGAACAATGGCCCCGTGTCAGGCTAGGACAAATCAACTTTTTTTTCTCACTTCTTATCGATCGATATTTCTAAGAAAAACTTCGCCGGGTGGGACTTTTCTGGTCTGTTTTATGACAACAGCTAGTTTAGTGGGAGAGTTCTGGTCTGTTTTATGACAACAGCTAGTTTAGTGGGAGAGTTCTGGTCTGTTTTATGACAACAGCTGGCTTAGTGGGAGAGTTCTGGTCTGTTTTATGACAACATCTAGTTTAGTGGGAGAGTTCTGGTCTGTTTTATGACAACAGCTGGTTTAGTGGGAGAGTTCTGGTCTGTTTTATGACAACAGCTGGTTTAGTGGGAGAGTTCTGGTCTGTTTTATGACAACAGCTGGTTTAGTGGGAGAGTTCTGGTCTGTTTTATGACAACAGCTGGTTTAGTGGGAGAGTTCTGGTCTGTTTTATGACAACAGCTGGTTTAGTGGGAGAGTTCTGGTCTGTTTTATGACAACAGCTGGTTTAGTGGGAGAGTTCTGGTCTGTTTTATGACAACAGCTGGTTTAGTGGGAGAGTTCTAGTCTGTTTTATGACAACAGCTGGTTTAGTGGGAGAGTTCTTGTGACAACAGCTGGTTTAGTGGGAGAGTTCTTGTGACAACAGCTGGTTTAGTGGGAGAGTTCTGGGTCTGTTTTATGACAACAGCTGGTTTAGTGGGAGAATTCTGGTCTGTTTTATGACAACAGCTGGTTTAGTGGGAGAGTTTTCTTGTGACAACAGCTATTTCAGTGGGAGAGTTCTGGTCTGTTTTATGACAACAGCTAGTTTAGTGGGCGAGTTCTGGTCTGTTTTATGACAACAGCTGGTTTAGTGGGAGAGTTCTTGTGACAACAGCTGGCTTAGTGGGAGAGTTCTGGTCTATTTTATGACAACAGCTGGTTTAGTGGGAGAGTTCTTGTGACAACAGCTGCCTTAGTGGGAGAGTTCTGGTCTGTTTTATGACAACAGCTGGTTTGTTAGGAGAGTTCTGGCCTGTTTTATGACAACAGCTGGTTTAGTGGGAGAGTTCTTGTGACAACATCTGGTTTGATGGGAGAGTTCTGGTCTGTTTTGTGACAACAGCTGGTTTCTGCAAGAATCGGGGATCATTGGAGCATTTTTTTTAAATTAGAATAAAAGTGCCCAATGCAAGATTCGATACCGGGTCGTGACAGTCCTTCAACCGATATTCATGATAATATTGATGAGAGGGATTGTTTCATCAGTGGCGATTCCTTTCAGCTATTTCGCCAACTCATTCTCATCTCTCTAAATTATAATTTAATATTTTATTTGATCTCGTTGAGTTACAACATCTGAAAAGGTAATCTTTATTATTCATGTCATCAAAAACATCAATGACTGAAAAGTTATTAAAATTAATGATACTTCAGCTAGTAAATTTCTTTAAAATAAAAAGATTTACTGGCCGAAGTATCTTTAATTTTAATAACTATGAATGCCGGTCAAGCAACCTCTATCTTTAAGATAAATTATAAAAATGTTCAAAATATAAAAAAGAGATAATGGGATTCTTAAATATAATTTATTATTAATACAGCATGAATTTATGGAATCTTTGCTCTCCAATAAACATATTCATCTTAATATAAACATAGATAAAGAGTAAAGCGATTGAAGAAGGAATCAAAGTAAACAGCGACAATTTTCTTTTATTAATGCTGTAAAATCGGCAAGCTTTCGGACTTTGACGTCCTTCGACAGGCAACTTTCCAAGAAACTAGAGGATAACATAGACGTAAATATTTACATAATTGGAGATTTTCTCAATGAAATAAATAATTATTATACAAACACTTCTTTTTATCTATGTAAACAAATTTATTCTGAGGTAAAAGAGAATTCTTGATATGACGCTCAGGCCTTATAACAACAACATTGTAACCAAATTGTAGAGAAACCTTTATATAATGAAATTAAAAGTATGGAGAATCTATGAAGAGAAACTCTTAAAAACGAAAATAATTCTAGTGTCAAATTATATTGACAAATATTTGCACTCTTATCATATCTCAGGTTTTAGTGGAAATAATTTTTTTGTTTATTTGTTGAGTGAACTGATCTCCCACGCCTTCTCATTGGACGAATGTGGCCATGTTTGTACATAAAAGAGGGTTGAAACGGAATGCGAGGAGTCGTGGAGTGATTTTCGAGTGGAGACGCTTAAAGCGTTCTCTGTGAGCTTTTCTGGTTACCTCCTCGTATACCTGTGAAACCCCGATCCGCTCCTTATCAACGCTGCAAATAAAAGATAAGTGCTGTTTTTATTTTATTTAACAAATCGTGTTTTTTTTTTTTATTTCCCCCCTTTTTGTTGTTGGTGTTGTACTTTTGAGTGCACCTTTTTCCGTGTTTAAGTCACTATTATTTTAGGCCCTAGTTTATTGCTTTTTGTGTTAACCCGAACAAAGTAACTTTTGTCACTAGACCTTCCCACTTAAACTCTTTGAAACGAAACACCTCATTTAAAAACTTCTAAAGACACAAAGGTGTTTTATTTTAGCGAGTTGTAATTGAAGATGTCGAGGCAATTTCGTTGTGGAGTCATTTTCTCTGTAGTTTAAAGTTATGTCCATTGTAAAGAACAAGATATAATGTTGTTTTAAGTTTTCTTATAAAGAGTGTTTTCTCCTTTAAGGAATCAAAACATTTGTCGCTATTTGATTTTCGTTAAAAAAAGTTCAGTTTCAAATATTTTACTAAATTTTATAAATTAATAAATTTATCGTTGTTAAAAATGTCCGCTATAAAGTACAGTAATCATGTACCATATATAATACACTGCGGCCTGTGATTGCAAAACGACACTTGAAGTTACACCGCATGAGTTTCTTTTCAATGAAAAATCAAAATTTTATTTCAAGGTGAAATATTGACTATTTCTAACCTTTTTGGATGAGGTATGAAAGGGTGAATTATGAAGAGTAATAATGAACGGAAAAATAAAAGTGTCCAGGGATGGGAATCGAACCCACAATGTTCCGCTTACCGGGCATATGCCATGTCCACTAGGCTACCCTGGTCCAGGGTACTCTTCATAATTCACCCTTTCATACCTCATCCAAAAAGGTTAGAAATAGTCAATATTTCACCTTGAAATATAATTTTGATTTTTCATTGAAAAGAAATTCATGCGGTGTAACTTCAAGTGTCGTTTTGCAATCATGTATCATGTTTATCATGCGTACTAAGGATAATTATAAAAAGCTGACAATTGCATCACTATTATCTTCAATTAGATAGAAAGTGATGCTTGTTATAGGTTTAGATATATGTTGTGAACATTCGGTAATAGCAGTCGCTATCTACCCGTAATGATTATGTTGTAACCTTTATCATATGTACTAGAAGGATAATAATAAAAACTCATAATTCCATTACCATTTCTCGTCATTAGATAAAAATTGTTGCTTGTTATGTGTTTAGATTTGTGGTTTGCACTTTCAGTAAAAGCACCACCAATGAATAGTGGGCTACTTAGACCGAAGTCTGTACGCCAGTAAAAAGTTCCCACGTCAGGAATCGAACCCGAGCCTTCTGAGTGAAAGCCAGATATCTAGGCAACTAGATTACTTAGGATCCTGCAGTAAAAGCACCATTGGATAGTGGGCTACCTAAACCGAAGTTTGTACGCCTGTGTAGTAAAAGCAGTCGCTATCTACCTACAATGATTATGATTACCTTAATCAAGCGTACTAGGGATAATAATGAAAAACCTTACACAACTCCGTTATCCGCCATTAGATAGAAATTGTTGCTTGTTATATGTTTAGATTTGTGGTTAGCACTTGCAGTAAAAGCACCACCAATGAATAGTGGGTACCTAAACCGAAGTCTGTACGCCTGTAAAAAGTTCCCACGTCAGGAATCAAACCCGGGCATTCTGGGTGAAAGCCAGGTATCTTAGCCACTAGACCACTTGGGATCTGCAGTAAAAACACCATTGGATAGTGGGCTACATACACCGAAGTCTGTACGCCTATAGTAGAAGCATCAAAGGATGGAATGGCTACCTAAGCTAGTATTGCTTGACCGCCTGTGCAGTAGAAGCAGTCGCTATCTACTCGTCATGGTTATGATGACCTTAATTATATGTACTAGGGAGATAATAATTTAAAAACTCACAATTCCATTACTATTTTCCGCCATAAGATAGAAAGTTCTACTAGTTATATGTTTAGAAATGTAGTGTGCACTTGAAGTAAAAGCAGTCGCAATCTACCCACCATGATTATGATTACCTTCATCATGTGTGTACTAGGGATAATAATAATAAAACTCACACATTACCATTATCCGCCTTAAGATAGAAATTGCTTCTTGTTATACGTTTAGATTTGTGGTTTGCACTTGCAGTAAAAGCACCACCAATTGATAATGGGCTACCTAACCCGAACGACGCTGTAAAAGGTTCCCACTTCAGGAATCGAACCCGGGCCTTTTTAGTGAAAGCCAGATATCCTAGCCACTAGACCTCGTGTGATACTGGAGCAAAAGTATCAGAGGATGGAATATGGCTACCTGAAGAGAGGTGATATTGCAGTAATATATATAAAATACAGATATGCAGTAAAAGCAGTCGCTATCTACCCACATGATTATGATTACCTTTATCAAGCTTCCTTGGGATAATAATGAAAAAAAAAAAAACTTACACATTACCATTATCCGCTATAAGATAGAAAATTCTACTTGTTATATGTTTAGATTTGTGGTAAACACTTGCAGTAAAAGGACCACCAATGAATAATGGGCTACCTAAACCGAAGTCTGTACGCCTGTAAAAAGTTCACACGTCAGGAATCAAACCCGGGCATTCTGGGTGAAAGCAAAGATATCCTAGCCACTAGACCACTTGGGATCCTGCAATAAAAGCACTCGCTATCTACCTACCACGATTATGATTACCTTAACAATGCGGACTAGGGATAATAATGAAAAAACTTACACAATTCCATTATCCGCCATTAGATACAAAGTACTGTCATCCATTCTAAACACAACGACACGTGTCAGTTAAATATTAACAAGATCCGCGATAAAAGTTCCCAACAAAATGTACCGAGTCCATTAGGATCCCTAATGACAAAGTGATTGACTTCCTTCGAGGAACGCCATATTGCCGGGACAATCATGTCTTGCCTTCTTATTAAACTTAACTCTTAATGAACAATTGTACTTCATAGTAAATATTGTAGAAAGTTTTATTTTATATTAAATTTAAGGTTGTTCCAAAAGTTTGTGTTTTTTTTTGAAACGTTGTTTTTCCTATTGGCGAATAATATTATTACGCTGCGCGAATATATAATACAAAGACATTATACATAACGGCGAATAATATTGGTATTTCCATTTTTTTTTTGCCAGTATTTACGAACTTTTGGGACAACCTTATAATTCACGGCAGTATATTTCTGCTTCCCATCCCTGGACACTTTTATTTTTCCATTCATCATTACTCTTCACAATTCATCCTTTCATACTTCATCCCTAAGGATAGAAATAGTCGTTATTTCTCCTTAAAATAAATTACGATTTTTCCTTCAAAAGAAACATTTGCGGTAAAACTTGTCAAACGTAGTTTTACAATCATAAGCCACATTATATTATAAATTAACTTTATAAAATATTTTACTTTGCAGTTCAAATGAAACAGAATAGTTCCGATTACTATGAAAAGAATTTGCACTTTTTAATGAACTTCTTACTGATGCGACCAGAAAATAAATTTAGGAGGGCCTGACTCATCAGTGATGGACCCTTCCAGCGGTTTCGCCAGTTGAATCTTCCAAACCGCTCTTATATAGTACTTGAATTAACATATAGTGAGCAATTAAGATGCAATAATGGTGAATATAATTGGAGAACCTATGAACATAAGCTTATGTAACTGCGTAGAAAAATATACATTTTCATATATAATGAACAACACTATTTATCAAATAAGTACTGAAAATAGGTAAAGTATTATTATATTATATTTTAACATGCCTCATTTTATAAATCACTTTAAAAAACGACTGAAAATACTTAATATTTTGATTTCAAATGAAATTTTGAAGAAAGCAATCTCCTAAATTATTTGCTAATTCCATCGAACGAATACATTTTATACATTTATTATTTAATTTTTTAATTAAAAAGGCATATAATGGATCAAAAAATCATTTATTTTACCAATATTTCAGTTGGCTGAACGCCAACCTTTATCACACACACAAGGTGTTATAACATATCTAAATATGTTACCTTGATAAAATAAAAGGTGGGCGTTCAGCCAACTGAAATATTGGTAAAATAAATGATATTTTGATCCAATGATTTATTTATGGATTGCTCTATTTTCAAAATAATTATTATTATATAAATAATCAATTCTTCTATAAAAAAATAGACACTTTGGCAAGTTAAAGTTTTATTTTTTCAATGTTTCAACAGAAATATTTTGTCTTCGTGCTTTAGATGTTATACTAAATTCGTAAAATCGCGTGTAAACGCCTTTATAACCTCAGAACAATTTTTATGGACTTGCCAAATGCTATATTTGTATTTATTTCTCCTGATGAAGACAAAAGATTTTGTTGAAACGTTGAGAAAATAAAACTGGCCGAAGTGTTTATTATTTACAGAAATATGAATGCCGGCCAGGCAGCCTCTCTCTTAAAGATAAATAATGAAGACAACTTTTACATACCTTACTCCAATTAGCGAAAAATTAGATTAAAGGCTTCGCTCATCATTAATGAACCCTTTCAGCGGTTTCAGTAAATTAATCTCCAGACCGCTCTATTATGCTGCTTTTATTCTGTTATTCTTTTGTCTGATGATGGTGAAAATGTGGTTACCGAAAAGTCATACACTAATAAATTGTTTGGATTAGGTCTTATTTTCTTGTATTATAATCTATAATCCAAATTGTGCTTTATCAAAATTGAAGGCATATTATATGTATTTAGGTTATATAAGGGCATATAAGTTACAGAGCTACATAATAATACACGTATATACAGTAAACCCCTCTATAGCGAACCCCAATGAGACTGAACCTATAGTTCACTATAGCAATGGTTTGTTATAGCCATAGTTCACTGTATTATAAAATATAATGGGAATTATTTCAGGTTTGTTATAAGGGAAGGTTCACTATATCCCAAGTTATTTTTATCGGGTTTTACTATAATTACAAGTAAGCATATCAAGTAACGCTATTTAGCAAATATTATTTTTTAATAAAGATAGTATATGCAACAAATTAAAATATTTCAGAATGCAATTTATCGTATAAAGTTTTCATATTTCTTGGAGCATATATGTTTCTTAGTATAAAACCATTAAAGATTCCACATAAATAGGTATTCTATTTAAATCATAGACGATATAAGAAAAACGATCCAATACATTAGTTTGGCGAACTGGTGATTAATTTTGCGAAACAGCTAAATGATGATAAATTATAATTTACAAAATTTAAAAGTTTTTAAAGAGCCACACAAATTCTTGCCAACAATAAATAGTACTAGTATAAATAAAGTTTTTATTTATGTGAGTACTACACGCAGCTTTACATCCCAAGAGTTGCATGTGGTTCGTGAACCGCAGGTTGCAGACCCCTGTACTAGAGTATGCTACAATCTATATAGGATAAGCAAATTTACAACAGAAAGCAATAACGCGCCATCTATACATATAAAATGAAAGGATTTAAAAGCACGAATGTTTATTCTATACATAATACAATATCGTTTTGAAAAAAGAGCAATCCATACTTAATTCATTAGATAAAAAAGGCATATATTGGATTTAATAAAATATTTATTTTGCCAATATTTCGGCTGGCTGAACGCCAACCTTTATCGAGGCATTACATTACAAAAATGTAATGCCTCGATAAAGGTTGGCGTTCAGCCAGCCGAAATATTGACAAAATAAATCTTTTATTAAATCCAATATATGCCTTTTTTATCTAATAATACAATATATAGATGGAAAATTTATGACGAGGGCAATTAGCCCGAAACCATGGTCTCTAGGTGGACGCTTCCCAGTTTGCCAAAGCTGGTGTTGTGGCTTTGTCACCGACCCGAGGCCGCTTGTTGCGGCGACGATCAATAGATGGCGTCAGGTTTTGACGTTTATTTTGACGGGAGAGGCGCCCTATGCTTCTAATACAATATATATATATATATATATTCATCGCAGTAAGGACAGTAGAAGTGTGAATTATGTATAAAAGAAACATTCGTGCTTTTAAATCCTTTCATTTGATAAATTTATAACAAGTTTTTGTTTTCTTTTTAATGGTATAGCTATAGTTTGCATATTATCCGAGGAATGATTATTGAGAACGTGGGTCTATGAAGAGGTTGACGTAACTATGAACAAGTTTAAAATGTTGATATGAGCAGGTGCAGTGTAGCTGACCTCTGGCTATGGAACACGGCAGGTCACGGCGTCGACAGGTGCAGCCAGCGTGGGTATCGCACACCGGAGCAATTATGATGGCCAGGAAGCCATTATGGATGTGGAAGGGATGAGAGGAGGAAGTTGAAGGTATGCAGAGACTGTTACATTCTTGGCGAGAAAGTCAACTAACTAACTTTATTATAATGTTTGGTGTAGAAGTGTAAACCGTGGATTTTCGATAGCCATGAACTAGGATCGAATCCCGCATTGGACACTTTTTTTCTGAAAGAAAAAAAGCTTTAATATGGTTATTGATTCTTGAAAAGTTCAATTCCACCAGTGAATGAAAGTATTCAAACGGAGTTCTGGAAACACTTGTAAGTGAAAAAGAGTCGAACTGTTTTCCAGATGTGAAGACATTTGTTTCACTCTTATAGTAAAGGCAGTTACTTACTACCCACCATGATTATCATGGCCTACTTGGGATAAGTACCACTACCACTATTTTAAAGGAGAACACTGATCCTTTCGAAATACGTTTCTTAAATAGAAAATACTTTTATTGAGACATTTCGTCTTAAATTGACTCGTCCTTAAGTCCAAGAGTAAATTATGGTAAAATGTTTCAAGAAGTAAATATATAATAAGCTACATAAGTCTTGGTGTTTCTAGACATAACAAATACTATATATCTTCTAGTCATCCTTTATTTTTAAAAATTTGTAACGATATTTTCAGCTGGTGAACCGTAGAAAAGGTAGTGAAGTAGACAAATCTCTCATCGTTCAATCAATCAGAGAAAAACTCAAATCTATGTTGATTGACATATGAAACCGCAAATTTTGTTGCGTTCCTCTCAAGCAGGGAACAATGAAAAATAGTATATGACATCCTTCCTTGAATATCATTTCCGCATAACTCTCATTATAAGCAACATTATTTATTATGATATTTGAATGGATTTGGGGACAAAATAGCAAGAGCTTGTTGTGTATGGGTACGTATCTTTAGTAATATAATGACGAGCGTCGAGCTTTGCTCTTCGATGCACCATTACGAAAGGTTTTATCCCTCTTTGAAAGCAATTTATATTGCAATTTATGAATATAGAAAGTTGAATTAAGAATAAATATTCTTCAAAAAGAACGGCACTCGAATCTAAAGTGCCATAAGCCTTGCAATTTACATAAACAATATATTATAAAATGATAGAGAACATTGCGACTGCCGTGAAAGAGATGTGCAGAGATATCTGAGGCTCTTCATTGGACAATACAACAACATTATGAAAAATAAATAAGACCCAAATGCGTTTCGTGCGAAAGCTAGCATATTTTAGATGTGAATAAAATTTGTTTATTGTAAGAAACCCTTTAGACTCGTGATATATTGATGAGACAAAGGCATCCCCGTGTAATACTCAGATGGTTTATTTGGTGCAGTGCTGGACTCGTGGTC